TATTTTTATTTTTTTTATTTTATATTTTATATTGTTAAATATATATATATATATATATATATATATATATATATATATATTAGTTTTGATTTGTAATTATTATCTGTGTGTTGATGCCAATCTTGGTCAGGTCACGCTTGAAACAGAGATTTTTAATCTTAATGAAACATTCCTGGCTAAATAAATACTTATTAATCAAAGGAAAATCACTCACTGTTTCAGCAGTTGTGCAGTTTTCTAGAAGACCAACTTTGTAACTGTCTTTATGTGGCTCTGGAGGTCCAGGTCAGAGTTCATCATTACACCCAGTTTTCAACCTGATCTCTAGTTTCCAGCTGTTATGACTGAAGCTGTGCATTGAGTCTAGATCGTTCCTCTTTAGATCCAAAGATAATAACTTCAGATTTGTTTCTGTCTGCTGAAGTAAGTTATGACACATCTACGCGTTGATTTGTTCTAAGCATCTGCTAAACTTTGAATTGTTTCATCTCCTGGTTACATTGTAATGAGGAGAAGTGTGTCATCTGTTTACATAAGGTAAGTAATCTTACTACATATTATAATCTGAGCCAGTGGAGGGCATGTAGATTTTAAATATGAGGGGTCCTATAATAGAACCTTGGGGTACCCCACTTGTGATTTTTGTCTGCTCTGATGAAAAGTCATGTCAGTGGGAAGTCATTGTTAAGAAGCTATTTAATTGTTGAATCCAGTTCAACAATTAAATAGTGAATGATGGGGTATGATGGTGAATGGAAAGTTGGAGATCAGCTTGTAGTTCTGCAGTAGTGACTCATCCAGACTGTCCTTTTTTATCAGAAATTTGATAACGTCTGTTTTTACAGACATGGGGGAAGCTTTCTCTGTTTTGGTCCTACTTTCTGTCATTATTTCCACAAACCCTTACAAATTTAAAGTGAACCATAGATGAAGAATAACCAACAATCAGTAAGTTTTATCTAGAGTTTATTCATTGTCCTAACAACAAATGACCTTATTTTAAACAATGGAAAACAGACTAAATACAACAATAATTATTGTATAATAAGTCCAAAATTGTTAAACAGCCTTGGTAGATTTTGATTTAAAATGATCTTTAACAGATGATCTGTTAAAGATCATTTTCAAAGACAAAATTCATGAAACATTAGTAAAAAAAAAAAGCCAAAGGTTGGTCAGCGGTTGTAAGAATTGTTTGATGCTGTAATGCTAATAAAGGACAACATTCTACTGATTATGGGGAAGGGTAAAATATTTTTGACATTCCATTTTTAATTACATTTAAAGTTTTTGTTTTCATTATTATTATTTTTTACATAGTTTTATTGTCTTTTGAGAGAAACCCGTCTCACTTACTATCAGAAATCCACGTTTTGGTTAAATGGAAATCCACATCTGCAAGGGGTATGAATAAATTTGGGCTCAACTGTAACTTGGCTGTCAAAACAGTCAACAGGAAAAAATTACATTTAGCCATAATCTCTTAGCCACAGAGAGCTTGTACAACGAAACATTTTACTGTTTTAGTAAAATGCTTTGTTTAG